AGCAATTCCACTTCACATATCTGCAGTTTATAGTTTATTGTTTAAAGCCAGTTAGTAAAAAATGAAAACAAAAACAAATACTCCCCAAACAACCCTATGGCTGCATTTATTTGTCCATTACTTCTTTTATACTTATATCCTTGAGGCTACAAGCCAAGGGCACACAAGGGAGTGGTGTGGTTAGCCTTATCTCCAGATGCCTTTGATTTCCCAGCCTGAATGGTCAGTTACCCACTTACAACTGGACTGACTGAAGCAGAGCTAAATTGTGCCTTTCAATCTAAAGCAGGATGACCTAACCACTCAGTTACCATGCTCCAAGCCTGTAGTTTCTGAATAATCAAACAGTACAGAGATTGGTTCTTCTGCATCCCAAACTCTAAAACTTTGATTTTCATTGGTGCTTTTAATGACAAAAAGGTATGCAAATTAAGTCTCCAAGTGGTTATTTCTTGTCTTAGTAAAGACCATGAGCTTGGTGCTGTGTAGTAAGAAAACATAAAGGCAAGATTTAATCCCGAAGAATGTGCAACTAAAAGAATACATAAAGATAGAAGAGCCAAGAAATCCCCAAAGGAGTGGAAAATTTGGGGAATGGCTTGGGGCGAAGTTTAATCTATAAATATAAATTTTGGATTAAGAAAAAATGAGGGGTAAGGATGATGATGAATTTGGCTTAGAAGGTTATTCTATGCATAGAGTCATCATAGAAGGATTATGAGAAGGAGGTGAGCACAGAGTTCTCTTGAATGGAAGTTTGCACTGATCAACCAGGATTTTAGCTCAATAGACTGGTATAAAAGAACTCATGATCCACCAATACATATACAAATATTGTTACCATATAGTTTAACCATTATTTCTTGTTCTTATTGTATCTTGCCAATTCAGCAAGTGTTTCTATTTCTAATCAGGTCTGTAAAAGACTGTACAGCATGGGCTGCTATGAGATTTCGCTAGCAGATACAATTGGTGTGGGGACTCCTGGAAGTATGAAAAGAATGTTGGAAGCTGTTATGAAGGAAATCCCACTGACAGCTCTTGCTGTTCACTGTCATGACACATATGGCCAGGCTTTAGCCAATATTCTCACAGCTATGCAGGTAATTCAGATTCTTTCTTTCCTGATATTGTTATTATTATAAACTGTAAAGACTGCAGTTTAATTCAAATGAACAATTAAAAAAACCCCCAGCCTGTTAGAGATCAAAGAAACAGAAAGCAACATGCATTTACTAACTTTCCTAAAACACCAGTCATTCTGTATATTTTGTGTCGTTATTACTTTTGTTTATACTGAGAGCATATCAAAACACTATCTGGAACTTTCCTATGTGGGAACTGTCAATTATATATCTTTATCTGTTATAAGGCCTTCAATGCCACATGTAACCTTCAAGAGACAGTGTGGTGATATTGTGCCTTTGATCTGAGTGGACTGCAAGGAGGAAGCATGTTTTTGCACAACTTTGTTGGAAGCGTGTTGTTCTTGCAAGAAATGTTCTGTACTAATTGTGTTTCATTCTCTGGTAATTTTAAAGAAATATTATTTTGAAGCACATTTTTCTTGTGGTGTGTGTGAGTGAGTGCGCAGGCGCCGCCCTACAGAAGATATGTGGCATTAATTCAAAAGTGACAGTATCATCAATTATAATAATGATAACAACCATGATGAGTAACAGGAAATATTCCAGTCAGGAAGCCACTGCTGGTCTTTGGCCGCATCTGCGTGAGATGCTGACTGCACGGTAGTCTGAGACTACTACTGCACAGTACTGCTGCATGGCATAAAGTGTGACATGACGCTATTGGTCAGTAGTCTCAGGCTGAAGTGCAGTCAGTGTCAAGAAAAAGCCATTCGTTGGAGCTACTGTACAGTAATGAGGGTTACTGCACAGTCATCTAGTACTTGTTTATACAAGTTATACAAGTTATTCTTGTTTATACAAGAATAAATTTCTATATCCATTACAAGTGGTTCATTTACTCATGGTAGTTACTGTTCACCAACATGTGCTTATTCTGTTGCAAATGTGCATAGATGGTGGAATAAATAAAGGGTTATTTTGGCAGTAAACTTCAGTTGCAGATGCTGTAGCTAGAACACAAAGATCCTTGTGCATGGGTGGAGTTCTCCAGAGAAGTTCACAAAGCGTTTTTTAAATCCATTAAAAAAATATGGCTGTCATGATACCTACTAAACACTCAATAATGACGAGGGTGTATTGATGCTGCTATTTATTGTAAAACGTATACTTGTTTCATTTTTGTCCTAACTCCCCGTCTTCTACTGCTTCAGATGGCTATTGCTATGCCTTATGACTTTAATTTCTTTGCAGCATAACTTGTCTTTTTTTATATATGAATACTGTTTAGCACAACAAGGTTTGGATCCCTGACTGGCATGTCACATACAAACATTAAATACAAATAGTAGCTCTGGTAAGTGAGAGAGAACATTATCTTGCTAATACTGGATAAGCTTGAACTTGTCTGATCTTCAACACTACAGTACTATGCACCTGTTTAACACCTGGATAAATTAAAAGCCTTGTGTAGCATATTCTAGCAAACAGTGATAACTTACTAGAATATTATATGAGAGGTCTGATATTATATGCCTCCTGTTG